ATTATCACATTATACGATCAAACTTCAACACAAAAAAATTATTGAATAACCTTATATTGATTGCTCTACATTTCTCAGAGTGATGAATTGATATTCAAATAAAATAGGTCAAAAAAATATGATTTTACCTGCGTTCAATCGCATACAAACAATTATTACGTAGGTCTTACTCATTTCCGATTTCAATATTGGTACCTACTTAACTTTTTACAAATGTAAACCATATTAATATGTCACAGAGTTATGAGCAGTAAATAATATATTATTATAGTTTGACTAGACTTGGTAAATAGTTGACACGATGAAGTGATAAAGTTGATAATAAAACGAAATATTTCATAAGGTCACACAGGTGAGTTTGGTATCATTACAAGATAACCAATATACTACTGACGACGCTTTAGGGTAATAAACTTAAAATTATTTTTGGCAATCGTTACCCGCAGCCGCCGAATGGGTATGAAAACCCATTAAATGCGCCATAAAAGATAAACAAATCTATAAAATGAGCCACGGAAACCTCTAAATTTCAGTTAACTATCAAATAAAAACTTTGCAGTATACGACCTCATTCCATCATAAAATCGGTGTGCGTCTGTCCTTAAATTATACACAAAAAAAGGCATTAATAAAATCTTAATAGTGGTAAATGACCTTCAGTCTTGCCACCTCGAAGATAATATTACATTTATACCTATTATTTACATTCAACACATTATTTCGGGAAGACGCGTAATGTTTAAGGAATTCAAAAAATAAAAACATTATCGCGTGCAATAAATGATACGACGACTGATGATGATTACAAATAATTATCGTGACGTTTCGGTATCAAAATATATCAATAAAAAATTTGTTTGTTCGCTCATAATTTTTTTTATTAATCGCGTCAGAGGGCCAAATAATATCATCTCGGCAGTCGTAAATGTTTTTATATTACATATTATAGATAATTTTTTACTCGCGCTTAAGCCTCGACTGTGTTTTTAAATTGAATAAGTGTGTACACTGTACCTACATATTATAATATTATTGTCCTATTTAATATGCTGAACGTTATTAATTGCAGTTCGTGAACGGCTTTCTCGCGGTCACCGCAAATGTCTGACAGGTTTCGTACATCATATTATGGTTTAGATGTTGTGCGAAATCTCGAGTGATGAGGATTTATATCGCTAATAATATGAAAACGGTAGGTAGGTAATAATATTAATTATCGCGTTCGTTTTGAACGCGTTCGCAAAAAATCCACCGCGGACCTGACGACCGTCTCCGGCGGATGTTTCTTCATTAGCCCAACGCAATGTCCGACCGCCGAGTAGGTACACAATATTATATACGTATAGGCTTCGAGGCATACGTTTTATGTGAACGTATTTCAACGGAAAACGAAAATACCGGAAACGGGAAAAACGTTCTCCGCGTGTCTCCGCGCCACCGACGGAAATAGATCCGGTGTCCGGTTTTCGTTTGCGTGTGTATATAAATTACACGTGTGTGTGTGTGTGTGTGAGAGAGAGTCAGTATATACACCCCCAGGACACGGTATTGAATTCAGAGAAACCCACCAAGGACGGGCCGGTTTGTCGACACGCTTCGCATATTCTCTGAGGGAACCGAAAACCTCGGCCTGGGGGTGTATTCCTGTCCACACCACAGCGACCGTTATTTCTAAACTCTATAGTGAGATCGGTAAAACGAGCACAAAACTAGAGAAGTCGACTTGGGCTTAAAACAAAATAGTCCGAGAGAGTCCCTTCTGCTCGCGTGGTATATTCCTCAGTGTGTCTCGGCAATGAGTCACTGAAACGTACGCGAGTCTTATACATTCGAATTCGATGATAAATCATACTATTATAATGGTTTCCTGAATAAATGAAAAAAAGATTTTAATACAATACGTGGAGTCTGGTGGTTCAACTTACACTTCTAACTTCTAAGGATAGCTATCAATTAACTCATATGTCGTTATATTCATATCAAATTATTATTATTTAATATTTATTTTTAAACAGTTGTTACCACAACCATTGCGTGTTTATTCAGCTTGTGAATAAATAATACCGACACATACCGTAGGATGGTGTTATTGAATCACGGCATAATAGTACCTTGACAACAGTCCAAACAGAAAAAAGTGATCTACTAATATGTATTGTTTTGTTAATTTACTGATATAAGTGATCTACTAATATGTATTGTTTTGTTAATTTACTGATAGAATAACTTATTAGGAACTTTGTGTTAAACGTTCGGGCCTTATATCAGGTACCTAACACAATTTAAAATGATATTCATTTTTAATCACAAAATAATTCACAAATTATCGCGGTGACGAAATATTAAAACATTTGAAAGCTATAATTAGCTGCCCAACACTCTTGGTGAAAATTCAATCGGGAAACCGTCTACAATGAAACGACTCGCGTGGATTTGTGCCATTGTGGGTAAGTTTTTGAACTTCGAAAAACGAATAAATTTAACGAATACGTTTGACAATCGACAGACAAAAAAGTCCGTTTGACGTTTGAATGGAGGAATATTCGTCGGGATTATATCGGGATATAACTACACGACAAAGACCTTTATGAGCATTCAGCATACATATTATAGTACCTTATTGTGATTGTGCACGAGAGCGACGTTTTCGATAAAAAAAATAAATATATATATAGTTATCCGCGGTATTATGATAACCGATAAGCATAGCTGTAAAAATATTGATCAACCTTTTCGGATAATACATTTCGTTATATGTATATATAATAATAGTAGGTACCAAGGAACTAAGCCGTTGTAATGGGTCGTGAATTTTTCGGCGATCAGCATTCAGGTCGGAGATTACCGCGTCGATCGTCAAAGGTAAAAAAATTAATTAAAAAAATTGTCGAAACCGAAAGGAAAATAATAATAATACGTGTGCGGGAAACGACGACGACGACCCCTTTTCACGGACCGAATGCACCCGCTGCAGCGACGCTTATTTCGCCGCTTATTTCTCTTCCGCGAGACTGACCCGACTTTGACCCTGTCCGCATTCACTCGCAGCGAAGATCACAAGCGACGATGTCGCAACGTCCTCAGACCGTAATAATACCACCGGATAATCCGCGGCGGATTGCGTGTTCATTGTGTGTATTCGATTGACAAAAGAACGCGCGTGCGGAATACGGAAAGCTAAAAAAAAAAAAGTATAAATCTCCGATTGTTGAGATTTACTGTACCGTTAAGACAAAAAAAAAAACCATAAACGAACATAATAATAAGGCGCGTCACACAAAAGAGGTTTTCGGACGACTGATATTATGCCGCAACAGTCGCTGTATATATCCTTCAGCAGCGGTCTCTATAATATACCTGTGCGTATACAGCATGGACTCTGATTATATTGTATACTGTTATACCCGCACTGTCGACCATAAATTAAGTTTTTACAATCGCTAGGTATAGTGCTATGCGATGGCATCGCGCAACTCGTCGTCGGTTCGAACCTCCAAACCGAATATGCCGCAGCAGCAGTGACACAACGGTCGGCATATTCTTTTCACCAATCCCCTTTCGTCACCACCTTTATCCTCGTAGGGTTTACGTGGTAAAACCGCAGACGAGTGAAACAGAAGAGCCATATGATAATGATACATGGGGTTTTTTTTCACACCACCCCTATCTCGCGACGCCTCAAATCGTTCGTCTAGTGCAGGGATTCTCAAACTGAGGTACGCGTACCCCTTGGGGGTACTCAAATTTTTTTAAGGGGTACAAGTCTGGCCAACAAACCTTTAAATTAAAATAGAGAAAAAAATTCTAAAATCCAAGGTAACATTTGTGAATTTTAAATTAAAATGGCGTATCTAACTGTTTCATTCGTCATTGATTGAGTAAGCGTGGCTATCGTTATACCAAGTAGAGTAGGAGACAGTAGAATACCTATATAATTATAAAAACGCGACGTTAAGCTAGGTGTCATGCGCGTGGCGCGTCTACGCTCGGATATAAAATATTGCGTCGTTACCACGCGTGTGTTTTTTTATATTTTTGTTTAGTAACTAAGAAGGGGTACCCAAAAAAAATTATTGATAAAAAGTGGTACAGTGTTTATAAAAGTTTGAGAATCCCTGGTCTAGTGTGTGGCGGGCAACGCTCATCCAACGGGCACAGACAAGAGGGCACTATAACATATTAATATACAACGTGTCGATATTTATATACTTTAAACAATAACGATAATAGTGATAATTGTACGTGTCTCGGGGTCGTGTCTGGGACCTGGGTAAAGTTTAGAACTGCAGAAGTCGTGGTATCCTGCTGCAGAAGTCCGTACGCGGTGTATGCTCACACCGCATCGAGTCTGTGATTATATTTTATTGTATTATTAAGGGGATTCGATCCGGTGATTTAATAAGGGGTCGTGTATAGGCAATTCGATGTATTATAATCGTTTCGCAGTGTGTTTGTGTGCGAAGTAAATGATCATTAGTGTGCGTAGATACGTTAGGAATCAGTGGTTCGCACCCGCATGCACATGTCACATAATAAAATATTTGTTCCAACGAGAAACTAATTTCAATCAATTGAGACCTAAAAGCCTGACAAAAATACGATAACTTAAAATGATCGGATTTTAGTTCTGTAAACATATTTGAATTCATCGTTCTTTTTTCTAGGTTATTGTGGGAGTCGATTTTTGAATAACTGTTTAACTTTTTAAAGAAAGACACAAACAATTTTCAAAAAATTGAGAAATTGAAGTATGATTTAACGTGAATTCTAAAAAAAATATCGAAAATTGATTCCCACAATAACCTAGGAAAATTGTCAATGAACTCGAATCTTTTTACAGAATTGAAATCTGATAATTCTAAGTAGGCGTATTTTTGTCAGGCTTTTAGGTCTAAATCATGAAATAAATACGCTGAATCGAATCCCCTTAACTATTATACCCACTGTCGCAGCAGGACGGTAAATTTAGTTTTTATAATCGCTATGTATGACACTATGCGATGGCATCGCGCAACTCGTCGGTTCGAACCTCCAAACTTTTCATGCCGCAGGCTCGCAGCAGCAGGGACACAATGGTCGGCATATTCTTTTCACCAATCCCCTTTCGTCACCACCTTTACCCTCGTAGGGTTTACTCGGTAAAACCGCAGACGAGTGAAACAGAAGAGCCATATGATAATGATACATGGGGTTTTTTTTCACACCACCCCTATCTCGCGACTCCTCAAATCGTTCGTCTAGTGTGTGGCGGGCAACGCTCGTCCAACGGGCACAGACAAGAGGGCACTATAACAAATTAATATGCAATGAGTCGATATTTATATACTTTAAACAATAACGATAATAGTGACGATTATACGTCTCTCGGGGTCGTGTCTGGGACCTGGGTGAAGTTCAGAACTGCAGAAGTCGTGGTATCCTGCTGCAGAAGTCTGTACGCGGTGTATGCTCATTGCTCACACAGCATCGAGTCTGTGATTATTATACCCACTGTCGCAGCAAGACGGTAAATTTAGTTTTTATAATCGCTATGTATAACACTATCTCGTCAGTTTCAACATCCAAACTTTTCAGCAGCAGCGATACAACGGTCGGCTTTTTCTTATTCCCCTCGTCACAACCTTTACCCTCGTAGGGTTTATGCGACAAAACCGCAGACGAGTGAAAGAGAAGAATCCTAATGGTAATGATATTCAGGGTTTTTTCTTCACACCGCCCCTACCTCGCGACACCTCAAATCGTTCGTCTAGTGTGTGGAGGGCCACACGATTCGCGGGCACTAACGTATATACAATAAATAATAATAGTGATAATTCTATACGGCTCTCGGGGTCGTCTTCGTGTCTGGGTGCTCAGTGCAGCAGTCTGTACTCGCGTGTTATATTATATATTGTCATACCTACGTTTACTGCGCCGCTGGGAGACCGTAAATTAAGTTTTTACAATCGCTACGTATAATACTATACGATGACATCGCGCAACTACCGTCGGCGGTTCGAACCACCTCGAAACTTCGCAGCGGCAACGACACAAAGGTCTTTTCACCTCTCCCCTCGCCACCAGCTTTCCTCTCGACGGGTTTTCGCGGTTTTCGAGTGAAAGGAATACTGCTAAATAACAATGATATTTGTGGGTTTTTTTTGTCACCCCCCTCCTACCTCGTTACGCCATAAAACGTTCGTCTCGTGCGTGTGGCCCACAGGATTCGCGGTGGTCGGCACTAACGTACACAACGTGTCAATATTTATATTATACAATAATAATGATAATGAAATACGTAGTCGTCGTCGTCGTCGTCGTGTTTGTGTGCTCAGCGCTCATAATATTATTTTATATATAAAAACGTTGGTGATTTATCGATCTCTGGGCTACACCACCGCACAATGTGTGCGGTATGATATTATCCGCTGCCGGAGGACGGCAGATGTCGACGCAGACTCTGCGGCGGGGTCCGGCAACAGCAGCGGCGGCAGCAGAATCGCTGGCTATTATTTGACGTACAATATATTATATTATAATATTATACTATTATTATCGCGCGATAATGAAATTATTATGTGTGCACTCGTATGCGACGCATCTGTCTCCCTCGCGAAATCGCCCGCCCAACGCGCGCGGGTGATGGTCGTTAAGCGAAGTTACCACTAAATTATTATTATTTTCGTCGTCGTTGTTATATTATACGCGTTTTGTGTGAGCACAATATGCACGCAATATATATTATATGTGTGTACGATATCACACGACCACGGTATAACGACTGTTTGCGTTTCGTGGGTGACCGGTGGAGTATAGGTATAATAAGGCTGTATTATATCCTACTACCGGTTATTGGCTGCTACCGATTTGTATACGGACCTTTGACCGCAAAATTTTGATTTGGGTAGTGATTGCTAGTGATGCAGTTTTCTATACAGTAGCAAGTTTTGACTACACTGCAGTGCACAGTGTTTTATTCGTTGAAAATAGCTTTGAAGTGGCTACTTTATCAATGATATACGTCAAAATACAATCTCAAACAGTCGTCATTAATTTTGAAAAAATTACAAATCCAAACCGAATTTACACCACTAGCCAGTGGCGTGATTTCAGTTTTTATTAGACTAAGGCAATTTTTTACTACTTTTCCGACTCAACATTTTTTTCACTCAGATTCTCATAGCATAGTGTCATAGTGGTTAGGGTTAGGTAGGGGGTAGGAGGCGTGTGGTAGATGTTCGTTGATGTAAATACTAGACTGGGGAAAATGCCAAAGTTGCCCTCCCCCAAATGACGCCACTGCCACTAGCTGACGAGCAACAGGAGCTATGCCGGAAGTTAAAAACAATTCGATCCAGCAAAGGTGGACAAATACAGTCAATGAAAAAAATCATCTCTAGTTAGTTTAGTTGAGTCATCGACCTCCCATAACGTAAAGTCATAACTTAATAGTTACCTGCAAATAATAATTTGAGCTTTAAAAGTTTAATGTGAGTATGGAGAAAAATACCGACTTGACTCAGTTAAAAAAGTCAATTAGTTTTGTTTAATAATCACCCAGATCACTAATATTACTTGTTAGTAATTGTATAACTTTAAAATATTATTTAAAACAACTAACAATTTTGTTCAAATGTATCCTGCTTTAATATTGTAATGGTTATTAGGCAATTATTATAAGTTCATGTTTACCAAATTATTAAATCAATAAATATTTATTTGTTTACTTTTGTTTAAAATCATTGTCTGTACAGCGTTATTAAATAAAAAAAAAATATTTAATTAACTTTGAATTTATACCACAATGAAGTTATTGATTTGTAATTTGTATACCTAACATGATGGTTTCGACTTAATGCGTACCAATTATTTTTTTAATTAACTGAAAACAAAGCCGAGTTATGACAATGGACAATATTAATCTAGTTGAGTGGAAAAGCTTAAAAAAAAAAATTGACTTTTGCCCCCCCCCCTGTCCCCCTACCTTTGCAATCCTCTATGAAATAGATTACCCGGTCTAGTGAAAACGCTCGGGCGGGACCTAATCGCGGGTTCTCGCTTTTTTTTCGTGGTAATAATGGTAATATCATCACCCCTACGGCCCTATGATGAGCATAACATAAAAATATCGACTACAAAACATTATTCTGCCGTCGTTTAGCCCATGATAGACAGTATGTGTGCTCGGCGTTTCGTGTGCGACCGATCGATTTTTTCCAATCACCGCGACGACGACGACTCCGGGCAAGCCGTTTATGGGGGGGGGGGGGGCTCTGCTGCAGCTGCCGAAGTCCGACAACGGTCCGTCTCGACTGTGTCGTATAATAATGAAAAAAATATTATGATAATCGTGACGTGTATGATATTATAATATAATATATAATATTTTATGGATAAAAAACTTCGAGTAATTTTCCGATAGCTGCTGACGGCTCACCGACTCCGACGGACGACACACGTCATGTCATGTAGAATCTGCAAAAACAAAAATTTGACGTTATAATACGTATCCCGAAGGCTGCAATCGTGGGTGTTCCGAGATCCGGACGTTTGAAAAACAACGACGACGGTTCGTATATTACATATTATTGTTATTATTATAATATAGACGCGAACATCGACGAATTCCCCGCGGACCGATTGCGCGTGACTATACATATATATGCGTATATAATAGTACCTACGATATTATAATATTATATGCGTGTGCGGCGCTTTTCTCGAGTGCGTTAGTTTTCTTCGTTATTTTTCTCCACATATTTCCGAGCTCTCCTCCCGTGGTGGACCCCGCGAAGCACACACGAATTTCCGCGGAAACGACCCCGGAGAGACCGCTTTCGCGCGCGATTTCCGCAAAAATGACTCATTTTTTCCCCGTCGGTAGTGTACCGTTATAATACGTCGTATTGTTTTCCCCCGATACGAAAACGACGTATACGCCGCCGTGATAGCGATAGTGGCCCCTTCGGGACAATCGGAGTTTTTTTCGGTTTTTTTCTCATTTTTTTTTCCCCGTCACACACACACAGTTTTATATACGATGATCTCTCCGGTCCGACTAGGGAGCAAAGCCCAAACCCGACGAGGACACACACACACACACACACTAGATATTATAACAGAAACTGCTATATATGTCATGTGAACTATGTTCACTAGATGGTGGCACGACGCACCCCGTCGACCGTTTATCGGACACTCGTTGCAGTAGTCGTGTATCGTCTAATAATAATAATATATATTATGTATCGTTTAATTGAATTGAGCGAGGACCCTCATCCTTATATTATATAATCTAATCGTGTCTCGTTACGTTATTCTTTCTCCGTTCAGAGTGTATAACGGTCTTGATAGACGGCGCCCTACCCCTTTGGTGCAGGGCTCGGCAGGGGTCTATAATTCTATATATATATATATATATAATAATATTATGCATCTAGACGACGTCTGAATTTAATTTGTCCAATCGTCGAACGCGCCACGCGTTTTGAAATTAATCAGTTTTGATTTATACCCAGCTCTATATATTATTATTAAATTTACTATAATATATTTAATACATACGCGTTTGTGTGTGTGTGCGAAGACGAACAATTCTCTCACGCTCCTTCAAATTTAATATTAATATATATATCATAATAATATCATGGCACATTTCCTGCAGTTAGTGTTATATAGTCGGCTGTTGAACGCGACAGAGTTTCTCGATAATATTAATATTATACTAATTAGGTAGTATTATTATACTACGCGAGTATTGCAGTAACTACGAGTGCCAACAGCCATCAGTGCTATAATATATGCATTGCAATATCTACTACACTCTTCTAGTAATGCTGGGCAATAGTGAATAATATACTTATAACAATACATTTGGGACAGAATGGTCAGAATGTAAGAAGTTGCGGATAAAATGTGACGAGTCTTGTAACTTTTGGGTAAATTAATTTTCAGTTGAATTAGTTTGATAATAAAACTACATAAATTATATGGATATTTTTTACGAAAATAGTTGCAGCTTTATAGAGTACTTTGCCAGCGCCTACCTATATAATAGAGTGATGATTAGCACTTCAATCGTGAAATACGAATATAAGAACACGTCAGTAAAAATAAAAACTCGGAAAACCGACATTATCAACTTTTGTCATCCGTCCACATCATTATAATATTATAGGTTAACAAGCTCTTTTATTTGTTGATTTTCACTATTCGCAGTCGGCGAACACTACGTAAGTGTTAATGTATTAAACTCGATTAGTGTTAACTTGATTTTTTTGAATAACGACTCTTTGTAAAGCTCGTATTCGTGTTATACCTA